CAATTTCTTTCCCTTTCTTATCATCTCTTGTATATTTTGGGTTTTATTTACTCTTTCATGTTCTTACACTAGGGAGACAATATGTTTACACACGTTGGGTCTGATTTATTTCACTTATGAGTATGGTCTCTAGTTGCATCCATTTACCTACAAAAGCCTCAAGTTTATCTTTTTTTTATAGCTGAGTAATACTCCATTATATAAAGATACCACATCTTTTTTATCCATTCCTCAGTAGATGGACATCTGGGTTGTTTCCAAGATTTAGCTATGACAAATTTTGCTGCTATAAACATGGGTGCACACAAATCACTGAGGTATGATGTTTTTAATTCTTCTGGGAAAATACCCAGAAGAGGAATAGCTGGGTTAAGTGGGACTTCTAATCCTACATTCTCAAGTACTTAAAGAAGGTATGACCATGAGTTGCAAATACTATTGTCACAGTGGTACTATGCAATTTTAATTGCCAACAGATAAAACTCAGAAGAATGCTTAACCACTCTAAATATAAAGAATTATAAAATTTTATCAATAAATAATAAGCAAAATTACACACTAAATTAATGGAATTCTTATAGTTTAATGCTGCTTAGAATTCAGAAAATAACAAAGCTTAAGAAAAAATGATGAAACAAAACAAAAATAACTTCCGATCTTTTAACAACAAATATGTAAGTACCATGAATTAACCGACTGTGACACTTGAGCTCAACATCAACAAATATAAAAAACAAAACAAAACAGTATATACTGTAGTTCTAAGACGACCTAGTACAAATCTACCTAGTCACCTTCAGGCTAACAGTTCATACAGTTCAGAATAGGGTTGGGCAACCCTATCCTGAAAATCTGAAATGCAAAATCCAACTTTTTTTTGGTCTTTTTGAGCCAGGGTCTTACTATGTAGTTCAGGCTGGTCTGGAACTCACTTATGCAGCCCGGACTGGCCTCAAACTCGGTGATATTCCTGCCTCAGCCTCCTGATTTTTCTGGGCTTACAGGCCAGCACCACCACCCCCTGCTAAAATTCTAATCTCTTTGAGCACAAACATGAGAGTCAAAAAGTTTCAGATTTTGGGCTTTTTAAAATAGAGATGTTTACCCAGAAAAATTAATGCAAATATTCTAAATTTCAAAAACTTCAAAAAATCTGAAATGCCTCTTGGACCAAAGCATTTTGGATAAAAGGTACTCACCCTGTGGATTTCTAAAATCAATCTTGCATAGTAGTATTTTTAAAAAAGTAAACAAATTTCCAACGTCAGCAGGGCATGGTGGCACACACCTGCAATCCCAGCACTCAGGAGGCTGAGGCAGGAGGATCATTACAAGTTCCAGTCCAGCCTGAGCTACAAAGTGAACTCAAGGCCAGGCTGAACTGCATAGCAAGATCTTTTCACAGAAAGACAAAAAAGAAAAAAAAAGGCAATTTCCAATGTCCCAAACAGGTTTTAGTAGCATTTAAAATCTGTCAATCCCATTTCCTTTTACAACTGGGGAGATTTAATTTCAAGTACTTCTACAATTTACTGTTCCATACCTCCTCAGCTTCTCCCTTTCTTCTCTCTCCCTTTCTTCTCTTCGTTTCAGGCGTTCCTGGTTTCTTTTCTCCTGCTTCTCGGCTACGACTCTCTTAAAAATAATAAATGAGGTGCACATTTATTTGATGAATTCTTAATTATCTTTACCCTAATCTCTTTCACACCTAATTTCCAACAGTACAGATAACATCAAAATCTGTTAAGACAGGGTTTTGCTAAGGCTCTCAATTGCCCAGACTAATAGATAGATAGCCCAGACTAGGCTTAAATTTGCAATCCTCCTGTCTTAGTCTCCCAGAGTGCTGGGATTATAGGCATGAGCCATCATGCAAAGTTTAGCCTTGATATTTAACTAGTCAATAGTGAGTATCCTTTCACTGGATTCATCCTATATCCTTTCTGAACTGGGGAAGGAGCTTAAAACTTGAGGTTCCACAAGCCTGTTATTTAGTTAAGAACTGCAAAATATTTCAAATAAATATTGGGCTCATTTTTCAATCTTCTTGTAAAGTACTTATTAGTACATATAATAATATATAATACTAAAATACTATGTATTTTTTTTGGTACCAGGAATCGAGCTCAGGACCTTGTGCTTGCCAGGCAGGCTCTTGTGCCCATCCCTAGCCCAAACATTATGTACTTTGACTACTGGAAAGATAACAATGGACATTTTAGGGATTTTACATTTTGGCTAAGGAAAATGAGGGATATTAATTTACCCATGTACCTTTAATTCTTCAAGCTTTTCTCTTATTTCAATAAATCCCAGGTGCAGTTTACCCCCGAAATGATCAGCCAGTCGTCTGTCATTATCATGAAGACCTAAATAGGCAGAGCAGACTTCACAGACTCGAAGTTTCTGCTGTTGGAAACTGGAAGCTGGCATAGAATTCCGATACACTTCCTAAGCAAAAATGAGAAATCAACAATCATATAAACTGAAAATGTTTTCTAGTGAAGATATAAAAGCATAGCTATTTTGTCAAGAAAAATCACAGGTTTTCTTTTGTCTCCATCCTATCTTTGACAGCTCCACTGGCGGGGTGTGTGTGTGTGTGTGTGTGTGTGTGTCAAAGACCACAGCCTCAAACTTTTTTTGCCAAGGAACTACCTGAACAATTCTACAACACAAAACATAGCTTTCTCAAAAGGTTTTCTCAATGTTCCTTTTCACAGTCTTTATTAGAAATTTGATCTACACTGGGGCCTCTCTCCTCCATCAGTTTTATTGTTTTGTTTTGGTTTTCGGTTGGGTTTCTTTTGAGACAGAGTCTCACTAGGTAGTCCAGGCTGGCCTTGAACTCACTATGTAGCTGAGGCTGTCCCTGAATTAGTGGCGATCCTCCTACCTCAGCCTCCCAAGTGCTGGGATTATGGATGTGTACCACCATGTGCAGCTCCTACATCACATTTTTAACAAAACCCGTGGAAAAGAACATTCAAGAAACCTGCCATGGTAAAAAAATCAGATAACGAAGGATGGCAAGGATGTGAGGAGAAAGGAATTCATCAACACTGCTGGTGAGAATGTAAATTGGTACAACCTCTATGGAAATCAGTGTGGAAATTCCTCAAAAAATTAAAAATAGAAACTCTATTTGACTTAGCAATTCTCCTTCTAGGTATTTTCCTGAAGAGTGAAAGTGTTTATATTACAGGGATACATGCATACCCATCTTTACAGCAGCATAACTTATAATAGCTACATCCTGGAAACAGCATATATGTCCATCAACAGATGAATGGATAAAGAAAAGGGGTATTTATTCACAATGGAGTACTGCTTTGCCATAACTTGAGGCATTTGTAGGCAAATGGATGCAGCTTGAGGACATAAAGTAAAATAAGTCACACACAAGTTTAAATGTTGCAGTTTCTCTTCTGTGAAATACTAAAAAAGAAATATATATGTATGAGGATATATATATATATTTCAAACCAATTTATGATAGCAATATAGGCGGCAAAGTTAAAGCTTTACCTTAAGGTAAAAAGAAGATCAAAGTACTGAAGTGGAGCTGACTTGCTTTCATGTGGCCGTGCGTGCGTATTTTAATTTACATGTTTTATTTTGAAACATTTTATAATTCCCCTACGTCCTTCACCCAGACTCACCAAATGTCAACATTTTACTACATTCCCATTATCTTTACCCCTAAGTATTTTTGTGTATGTCCTCAAAATAGGGATGTACAATGTAACTATTAAAGTCAAGAATTAACATTGATACAAGAGAATTAAAAAATTTACTTAAATACCAACAGTTGTCCCAACAGTATTCAGATAAGGATTTTTTTTCCCCTGTAGTACTGGATGCTGAACCTAGAGCCACTGAGCTACATTCCCAAGCCCCTTTTTATTTTTATTCTGAGATGAGGCCTTGCTAACTCACTAATTTATGAAAGACAATCCAGTACAGGATATGTCTGATTTAGTTACACCTCCCTACTTTAATGCAGAGCCATTATTCTTTTTTTTTCCGGTACCGGGAATTGAACTCACAACCTTGCGCTTGCCAGGCAAGCGCTATGCCACTGAGCTAAATCCCCAGCCCTGTAGAACCATTATTCTTTCTTTGTTCAATATAACATTAGCAGTTTTGATGAGTACTGGCCATTTATTTTGGAAATGTACTTCAGCTTGAGTTTATCTGGTTTTCCTCATAGTTAAGATTTGGTGGGGAAGTGCTAAGGATTGAGCACGGGAGCACAGGGACTCAAGCATGCTGAAAACGTTCTCTTGTGTTGGGAGTGACACCCAACACCCCCACCACGGTTAGATTTTTACAGAAATGCCATTATCATAACGTGTCCTATCAAGAGGCACCTGTTAGTGATTGGACCCTTTCTGGTGAGGGTACCTATTTTTGCTGTGAAATAACTCATCCCTTTGGTAACTAGTAAGTATCTTGGTATTAAGACTTTTGACACACAAAATATTGTTTCTCTTTACTTTCTGATCCACAAATTATAGCAGCTATTGCTGATTTTCATCTGAATCACTGCTCCCTACCTGTATCCCCACCCCAACTGTCCTAGGAACTGAACCCATAGCCTTTACACTGAGTCACAACTCCAGCACTTTTATTTTCTATTTCACAGTAGGGTCTCACTAAGTTGCCCAGGCTGTTTTTGAATTTGTGCACCTCCTGCTTCAGTGCCACAGAATGCTCGGATACAGGCAGGCACCATTCATGCCTGGCTTCTATTTTAGTCCCAATTTTGAGACAGGTGTTAGGTTGCCTAGGTTGGCCTCAAACTTCTGATCTTCGCCTAAGCCTCCAAGGCAGCTGGGATAATGGGTGTAAGCTACCATGTCTGGCTTCCATCCCATTATTTTTAACCCATGTCTTTAAAGTGGGCTTCTTAGAGGCCACATATATCTAAGTCTTACTTTAAAAAAAAAAGCAGTCTCACAAACTCTGCCTTGTAACTGTAATGTTTAGAAACACATTTGATGCTACATTATTGTTACATTGGATTCAAATTTACCAGATTGTTATTTGTTTTCTATTTGTCTTCTGTTCCTTTTCTGCTTTCTTGTGGTATAAATATTATTTAGGATTCCATTTTTTTACTGCCTTTTTTTGGAGACAGGATCTCATTCTGCAGTTCAGGCTGACCCTGAACTCACTTTGTAGCCCAGGCTGGCCTCAAACTCACAGGAATCCTCCTGCCTCAGCCTTCCAAGTGCTGGGATTACAGGCATATACCACCACGCCTGGTTGGTTTACTGTCTTTTTAACTCAACATTTTCTGTAAGGTTTCTGGTATACAATCTTAACTTACAACAAAGCTGGAGCAGCTATACTAATATCAGACAAATAAGATCTGGGAACAATGGACATTCCTAGGACTAAAAAGGGATATTTCAAAATAACTAACATTTTAATTCATTAAAAAGGCATAATCCTAAACGTACATTCACCTAAAGACAGCTTCAAAATGAAAATGAAAAAGTGACAGAAAGGAAAGCAGAAATAGATGAACCTACAATTTTAGTTGGGGAGGCTTCAACACACTTCTTTTCAGTAAATGCCAGAACAGAAAACCAATGCTACAGAAGATGAACAAATCTATGAGCTATCTTGACTCAACGTTTACAGACCACTCTACCCAACAAAGCAAAATACCATTTAAGTGCAGATGGGACATTCACCAAGACAGCCAACAGGCAGAACCCCCACTTTTTTAAGAGAATTAAAGTCAAACATTCTCTGACCACAACAGAATGAAATTAAAATTCAGTAACAAGAACTTATGTTGGGCAAGTTAAACCTACATGCTATAATCAAAAAGAGAGAAAGAGAAAAAAGGAGTGAAAAAAGAAAACTACCTGGAAAAAAAACACAAAACATAAAAACTACACATTCACCTAAGTAACTCATGGTTCAAAGAAGAACTAATATGCAATACTAAACGTTTTGGGGGTGATGGGGGAAAAAAGGTTATTTTTAAATGTGCAAATTGTTGTGGCACAAGCCTGTAATCCCAGCACTCAGGAGGCTAAAGCAGGAGATTGTCTCAAGTTCAAGGCCAGTCTAGGCTGCATAGTGAATTTAAGGACAGCCTGGACTACAAAGCAAGACTCTGCCTCTAAACAAAAAAAAAAAACCAACAAATAAATAAAGTATGTGCAAACTGGAAATGAAAAACTCACTACATTAGAATTAACACAGATTTAGCTGTTTTAGTTTACTTCCTAAAATAATACATGGGCTAGCTAATGACTTCTGTATATCAGCAAATTCTCTTCATTTAAAGCTCTCAGAGGCCTATAGAATGAGTTATAAATATATTTTCTGCAATTAATCTCAGAAATATTTACTTAGAATAGTTTTTTTAAAAAATATTTAAACATTTAGACACACATCATACCTGACTTTTTGTTTTTTGTTGTTGCTCTTATTGTTTTGTTTTCTGAGACAGGGTCTTGCTCTGTAGCTCAGGCTAGCTTTGAACTTACTATGTAGCCGAGGCTGGCCTTCAATTCGCAATAATCCTCCTGTCTCAGCCTACCAAATGATGGGATTACAGGCATGTGCCACTATGCCCCGCTGACTTTTTGTTGAAATAAAATTACATGCACTTTGGTTTTATTTTGTTCCATATTTCAATTATTTACTTTGATTTCAGTGGGAAAAAAGCTTGAACCCTTAATCATATGGTTGCTGATATCTGTAATTATTAATGAAATATTCTGTTTTAGTCCTTTTTGGGTGGTTTTGTTTTGTTTTGTTTTGTTTTTGGTCTTTTTGAGACAGGGTCTCACTATACAGTTCAGGCTAGCCTTGAACTCACTTATGTAGCCCAGGCTGGCCTCGAACTCAATGATCCTCCTGCCTCAGCCTCCCAAGTGCTGGGATTACAGACACATGCCACCATGACTGGTTCTTATACTCCTTTTTGAAGGTTAGAATTTCAACCACGTATCAGTTCAAAGTGTTATAAACTGAACTGTGGTATGTAAGACCATTTGCAATCTCTTCTAAGAATGCTAGATATCAAATTGTAAACGTTTAGTTTTTAGTTATTATTATTATTATTATTATTAGCATCATCACTATTATTATTTGGTACTGGGAATGAAACTCAGGACCTTGCACTTGCCACGCAGGAGCTTGTGCCACTGAGTTATATCCCCAGCCCTAGTTATATTATTTTTGACACTGGTGGAAAGTATTTATGTAATGTTGTGGGAACACTGATTCACATTAGGAAAATGTACATAAACACCTGTAACACTTTCTTGCAGTTTAAATAAACAGTTAAATATTTTGAACTGAATGAAAAATTAAAATGTAATATGAAAATCAGTGGACTGAAGCTATAGTAGTGCTCAGGAGAAAATTACCATAAAGTTTTAAAATAAATGATCTATGCTTCTACTTTACACAGGTAAGACTAAGAATACATTAAATGAAAAGTAGAATAAATGGAAAGAAATAATAAAAATAGGGGCTGGGAATTTAGCTCAGTGGCACAAAGCCTGCCTGGCAAGCGTGAGGTCGTCAGTTTGATTCCTGGTACCGGAAAGAAAAACCAAAAACAATAAAAATAAAAACAGAAAACAATGAAATAAAAGACAAGAGAAAAATAAAATCACAACATTGACACTTTAAACAGGAAAATAGGGGCTGGGGATGTGCTCAGTGGCACAAGCGCCTTACTAGCAAGCGCAAGGTCCTGAGTTCGATTCCCAATACCAAAAAATAAAATAAACAGGAAAATAAACCAGGTAGGTATCTAACTAGACGGATCAAGAAAAAGAGAAGAAGCAAGATGTATAGTTTAGTACTACAGTGTGCGCCTAACAAATCCAAAAGCCCTGAACTTTGGTTCACATAGGGGAAAAAAAAAAAGACAGCAACATTGCAAAGAGGTTATATGTATCTATACACATTAAAGAAAACATTTTAAATACTTCACAGCTGTATACCACTAAATGCAACAACTCAAAAATGTAAAAGATAAATGTCAAAAAGTCATTTAAAAAGAAAAAAAATGGAGCCAAGCAGAGTGGCACATGCCTGTAATCTCAGCACTTAGGAAGGTGAGGCAGGAAGATCTCTGAGTTCAAGGACAGGTTGGGCTACACAGTGAGTACAAGGACAGCCTGAATTACAGTGAGACCTTGTCTCAAAAAGCAAAACAAAACAGAACACCACCCTGAAAACTATGTAACCCTAAAGAATTTAATTATTTGTTTTTGAGATAGGGTCTCACAACATAGTTCAATACACACTTTCTTTGAACTTGTGGCAATTTCCTGCCTTGGCTTCCCAAGTGCTGAGATTACAGGCACGCACCATCATGTCTGGTGAGAATTTTTTTTTTTGGCACAGTAATCAAACTCAGAATCTTGTGCTTGCTAGGGAGGCGCTTGTGCCACTAAGCTATATTCTCGACTCAAGAATTTAATTCTTAACAAAACCACCAATGAGCACAGCTCCAGTCCTAGATGGCTTAAGACAAATTAACATTTAACAAAGAAACTATACCAATCCTACAAAAAAAGAAAATTACTTTCAAAAATGAACACTTTGCAACTAATTTTATAAACTGGCATCACCAGGATATCAGCCACAGACAAAGTCATTACATCAGTATATTATTAAGAATAGCTGGAACTGGATGTGATGGCACAATAATTCTAGCACTCTGGGATGCTAAAACAGGATAATCACAAATTAGAGCCTAGCCTCGAGAACTTAGCAAGACCCTGCCTCAAAATATAAATACATTTAAAAAATAAAAAATAAAACAGGATTGGTGATGTAGCTCAGTGCAAAGGCCCAGGGTTCCTCACACACATACAAAAAAAGAATGGATGGGGAATAAGATACACTGCATGAATTTCCTTCAATTCTTTCTTTTCTGCGAAAAACAACTTACATGTTTTGAGGCCTCCTCTTTCTCCAGAGAAGAATACACTACTGAATGTAATGCGTTCTTAATATCTTTCTACTGCTACTGTGAGGAGCAGTGAACAGTGTCACTCTTCTCCCTCCACTCAATGCTTGCCTTCTTTCTCTGCTGAACATCAGCATTAAGGCAGCAAAAGGAGAGATGCTGAGGACATCCTAAGATGGCCTCCCTCCATTCTGCTTCTCTCTCTGCTCTGAAGAGGAGCACTAATACCAGGAAAGAGGGGACAAAGGGAAAAGAGCAGGCACTCCAGAGCACTGTGGGTGACAGTTTTCCTACCATTTGTATCTTGCCACAACAGACCCTGCCATCCTCACAACCAAAATACACTGGCAAAAGGTTTAAGAAGAAATAAAAAGTGGGGTAGGTTGCCCAGGGTTAAAAGGAAACATATCAAAGTCGGGAATAATAGCCTCAGCTAGCTATAGCAGCCACACAGGTGACTGTACAGCCAGCCCAATAGGCAGAAAGTACAGTGCAATCCCTACTAAAGACACTGGATTTTCTGAAGTCCATTAGGTTGTACCAATCAAAATAGAACATTTTCTCTAAGGTATCAGATGTTTACCTGGGCTGAGAAAGAAGGATGAGACAAAGCTCCCAGGGAATTAGCAGACTATACTGAGGAAGCAAGAGAATCAGGAATGCCACACTGGCAGTTGCACAGGAGTCCATCCGGGTCAGTGGGGGACAGGGAGGCACAGTGACTGTGTTTCGTGTATGTAATTACCTTGTGTGAGTGGCTGGTTTAATTACATTTACCAGTTCTTTTTCAACAGATCAATGGCTCCAAATTTCCAAAAACCACTAATTCTAAAACAAATCCAACTATATGACACACATCACTTAAATATTTTAAACTGGTTTAAAATCCTTTAATAACTTTTCAGTAATTTTCAAATACACGTTCTTTAAGAAGTACAGACATGAATTTACCTCTGCTTCTCTTTTCTTTGCCCGTGCTTTCTCTACTTCATCCATTACTTTCTGGGACTCTTCCACGTTCCCTTCAGCTCCTAGTTGTTCCACTTTGGCTAATAATTTACCAATTTCTTCATTTAATTCATGAACACGTTCTGCCTAGAAAGAAACAGAAGATCATGAATAATTAACAGAATGAATACTAAACTTCGAAGTATTTCAGAAATGCTCAGAGGGACAGGGCATATAGCTCAGCGGTACAAGTGCCTGCCTGGCAAGCACAAGGTCCTGAGTTTGATTCCCAGTACCAAAAAAAAGAAAAAAAAAAAACGCTCAGAAAAGATTTGTTATCTAAGGCAGTATAAATATAAATAACGCTTTGCAGCATATCTTGGACTGGTGAATGAAAGACAGATAATGGGAACAGTGAGGTGTATTAAGTAAGATAGGAAAGGGTCTAGGGATGGACGACGGGGACGGGAGGGAATAGAAGAGGAAGTAAAAATGATTCAAGTGCGATATGTCTATGTACCAGTTCCCCAAAGTGAATGTCATTATTATGTATCACAAACATATACAGGGTTTCACTATGCAGTTCAGGCTGGCCTTGTACTCACACTGCAGCCCAGGCTGACCTCAAACTCAGTGATCTTCCTGCCTCAGCCTCCTGAGTGCTGAGATTACAAGCATGTGCCACCACGCCCAGCCTACACCAGGATGTTTCGAACCTACCTACTTTCACCTCTAAGATCAAAGATATTAGATCTCAACGTAACATCTACTGTCCAGCCTCTGCTTACATGTATTCCAAGTGTAAAACACCTTTCCTACCATAATCTGTCCCTAATTGGGCCGATGATATAGCTCAACAGCACAAGAACCTGCCTGGCAAGTGCAAGGTCCTGAGTTCGATTCCTGGTACAAAAAAAAAAAAAAAAAAAACAACGACGTAATCTGTCCCTCTGTACCTTCCCAAAGCACCTCTTAATGTCCCTCCGCCTCATAACACAATCTATTTTATATTCAGTTTCCCAAACTTGCCCTGATGTTTTTTGCCTGCAACTAACTATGCACATACTTCCTGGGATGTTGCTCATTACCATCCACCTTCCCTGTCTATACTCAATGTTCACTGATTCAACAAGATCCAAATGAAGAGTCTCTTTCCAGAAGCATCTCTCACAATCAATCTCATCCTCTCTCCACTTAAACATACAAATACAAATGATGATGTCATTGTCCCCTCTGTATCTTTTTAGACGACTTGTACACATGTCATTCTTTACAACAGCCATGTGAATTTCTCATCTTTGTATCTCTAGTACCCCCAAAATAGCACAGGGCTCAATCATAAGCTACAGAAATGAATTGGCGGACACTCTCTATAACGCAATGGTTGAACACAGGAGTCCCATAGTTGTGGATTATTGTTGAACTAATTACTACCTATATAATTTTAGTCACTCAGTTAAACCCAAATACATTCCCTCACCTGAAAAGTAGTGACAAAACCTATCCCATGAAGTCGAGAGAACGCGTGCTTTGCACACACACTGCACAGCAGCGGTCTCACTACACTAGCAGGGTAGTCCCTCCTTTAGTCCACGCCTTTCCACTGGATTAATTTTAGCCCCAGGTTTGATATAGTCATCACCACCATCATCATTCTGAGAAAATAGTTCATTCTGTTTAAGGACATAAGATGCACCCACGTAATCTTTATTCTGACAACAAAACAAGTATTCAGGGGCTAGGGATTTAGCTCAGCAGCACAGCACCTGCCTGGCAAGCGTGAGGTTGTGAGTTCAATTCCTGGTACCGGAAACCACCCTCCCCCCTAAAAAAAGTATTCTATCTGCTGTGTGGCCAAGTATAAAGTTTTAATGTGATATGGACATCCTATCCCAACCAACTAGTATGCCTATAATCTTTATTTCTCAGTTCTTTCAATCCAAAATACTCCTTCCTTCAGAGATTCCCAATTCATTACATCTCTGCCACTGAATGACGCACTAACGCCCAGGGATCTTCATCCTTTCCTGTATCAACGTCCTTTGCCATATAACTGGGTACTGTACCTTTGTACTCCAATCTGAACTCGGTCACGCACTTGTGTTACTGGGATGGCAGCAAACATGACCCAAGGAAGTGTTGAAATCCTTTAGAGAATGGGCATAATGCTTCTGCAGCTCTGCCAGAACCAAGAGAACACAGCCAGACCAGCCTCCTGAACACAATCAGTACCCTCCAGCTGACTTAAGACAGGATATACCCAGCCGACACAGGAATAAGTATCCAGTCAAGATCAGTTTAAATCATCAATTACAGACAAATGGATGAAATAAATACTGTTTTAAGTCACTTGAGTTTTGCAACAGTTTTCTTATACAAGAACTTATATAGTGAACAGTGACAAATAACCAATACAGTGCTATACAACTAATCAGCCTGGTCTACCAAACATTTGTGGATCTCTTTTAATCACAAGATACTAGGTGGCTTGTAGTTCAGGATGCCCATCTTAATATTTTCCATTTTCAGTGAACTTTTCAAAATAGGCTGGCTAAAAGTAACTTTTTCAAACAAGGGAACCTTCTTTCTTCTGTACATACATATGTGAGCACCATATCTGAATGCTGTCATTGGAACTATACCTGGTAAATCCTTCCATTCTGCATTTTCCTAAATGTACTAGGTTATAATGAATGGTACAGAACTACATTATAAAGCAGAAAGTCATAAGCAAACTTAATTCAACATACAGAACCTTGTTTAGATCAGGATACAAAAATTAGTTTTATATAGGAAATGAACATATCTGGCTATTAGCATTTAAAAATACTGTTAATTTGGGGGTGTGATATTGTGGTTGTTTTACTGGTAAAACTACATGACAGAATTTGCTTTTAAAAGTAAAGCAGCAATGAAACAATGACAGAAAAGTGAAGGCTCTGAAACTTGGTGCTGGATTCACTAATTCTCCTATAATTGTAGCATGTGAAAGTTCACAAAACATTTATAAAAAGTAGTGAGTCAAAACACGAAGAACACTCAAAACTCAACATTTAAGCCAACAAATCAATTAAAGAATGGGCCAAAAATCTACAGACGACCTGTTATGAAGGGGACATGTAGATAGCAAGTATACATGTGAAAAAACATCCAACATCATTAGTCATGGGGGAAATGCAAATTGAAACCACAACAGGACATCATCACAGGACTATCAGACAGATAAAAACTGAAACATGGTTGCCATCAAATGCTAGCACAAACATGGATAAACTGTATCACTCACACATTGCTGGTAGGAATGTAAAATGGTACAGTCACTCTAGAAAATATTGGCAGTTGCTTTCAAAACTAAAAACAGACTTATATTACGACCCGGCCATTGCATTCTTGGGCATTTATCCTAAAGAAATGAAAACATATGTCAATACAAAAATCTATACACAAATGGTTACTGCAGTTTTGCTGTTACTAGCCATTAAGGAGAAAACAACCCAAATGTCCTCCAATGTGTGAAGGTGTTAACTGTGGTATATCTAACACCATGGTATTCTACTTGAAAATAAAAAGGAATGAACTCCTAAAACACACAACTTGGATGAACTTCAAGGTAATAGGGGCTTTTCAAAACGGCAATCTCAAAAGGATAAAGTGCAACTATACTACATAGCATTAACAAAATAAAGAGATGAAGAATAGATTAGTGGTTTCCAAGGGGTAGGAGCTGGGGGATGGATGCTTCTATAAAAAGAGGTAACTGAGGGTATCTTGGTGACGACCCTACAGCTAAACATCTTAATTAGGATGGTGGGCACAAAAGTTTATATACTATAAAATTGCACAGAACCACACATACATGCATTTAAGCACAAATGCACGTGTGCATAATTAGTGCATGCCAACTAAAATATAAGGATTAGACATTTCTATGCTATCATATTACAGTTGTCTTAGATGCTCATGTTGGGGTAGTCAAAAGACAGTACACATGGGATTCCTTATAATGTCTTTGGGATCTCCTGCAAAACTATGTCAAAATAAAAAGTTAAATAAATAGAAGTAGTGAGCTGAAACAACACACTGCCATGAATTCCAGGACAGCCAGGGCTACATGCAGAGTTCAAAGTCAGCCTGAACTGCACAGTGAGACCTTATCTCAAAAAACAAACAAAAACACATATACTTTGTCCTAACGATGGAGATTCATACCTTTGCAGCCACTTCAGCACTAATCTCTTCTTGGGTTTCTGCTAATCTTTTCTTAGCCACTTCTGTTCTTCGATCACAATCTGCAATAAATGACTGCAGATGATCCATGGCCTACAAAATTTAAATTAAAAAATTACCACCAGAATATCAACTTTATTCTGAAGTATCTTCATTCAGGGCTGGGTATGGTCATGCCTGTAATCTCAGAACTCTGGGACAGAGCAGGAGGATCATAAATTTGAGTCCAGCTTAGGCAATTTAACAGACCATCTCAGAATTAAAAATAAAAAGAGAGGTAGGGATGTAGCTCCTAAATTTAGTCTCCAATACCATCAAAAAATAAATCTTTATTCAAAAACTAACTGGGCGTGGTGGCGCACACCTATAATCCCAGTACTTGGGATGCTAATGCAGGAGGAGGAGGCGAAAGGAGGATCCTTGCAAGTTACAAAGTGAGCTCAAGGCCAGCCTGAATAGCATAGAGACTCTATCTCAAAAAGGGGGAAAAAAAAAAATCAAAAACTGTACTTTGGGCCAGGGATATAGCTCAGCAGCACAGTGCCTTGCTTGGCAAGCACAAGGTTCTGAGTCTGATTCCTGGTACAAAAAAAAACAAAAAAACCAAAACCCTGTACTTTGACTGGACACAGTGGCACAGGCCTTTAGTCCTAACACTAGCGCAGCTAAGTAGGACGATCACCTCAAGTTCAAGGTCAGCCTGGAGTACTTAAAGTGAGTTCAAGGCCAACCTGGACGGCACCATGAGACCTTATCTCCAAAAAAATCCCAAACCACCCCAACAACTATACTTTGAGGTTTTTTTGTTTGCTTTCATGGGTTGTTTGTTTTGTTTCTGTTTGACAGGATCTTGCTATGTAATCCAGACTGTGTGAACTCATGACAGTCCTCCTGCCTCAGCCTCCCAAGGGCTGGGGTTACAGGTATATGTCACCATACCCACTTTATACTTTTTTTTTTAAATGCTACCATGGAAGTAAAAACAATAACAAAAGCCAGGTTCAATTATGAATCTAAAATGCAATTTAACTTCTACCAACTGGTAAGGAACAAAAAATAATTCCAGAAAGGCAATGTTATAAAAAACTATCACCTTCATATTCTGCTGAAGCAAACACAAACCAATGGAGCCTTTATAAAAAGGTAAATACAGTTTTTCTCATCAAAACCTTTTAAAATTTCTCGTGACATAGTAAAATTTTACTTCTAGAAATTAAGAAAGTAATCAGCTGTGCGTGGTGATGCACACCTGTAATCCCAACACTCGGGAGGCTGAGGCAGAAGGATTGTTGAGTTCAACGCCAGCCTGGGCTACAAAGTGAGCTCAAGGCCAGCCTGAACTGCATAGCAAGACCCTGTCTCAAAAAGACCAAAAAAAAAAAAAAAAAAAAAGTTAGATGCAATAAAATACCACTTGTGTAAAATAAAGCATAGAAAAAAGAAACTGTTAATTATTTGTGCATATTTTGACTTTTTTGTCTTTTAGAGATAGCGTTTCACTATATAGTTCAGGCTGGCCTCACAGCAATCCTCCTGCCTCACCCCCAAGTGCTGGGATTACAGGCATGTGCCACACGCCCAGTTTGATAATTTTTACTTTTTCTTTCCTTTTTTTTTTTTCCATACTGGAAATCAAACTCAGGACCTCATGCTTATCAGGCAGACACTATGCCCCTGAGCTATATCCCCTGCCCAGTTTTCTGTTTTTCAAAAATTCTACAGTGGGGGCTGGGGATTTAGCTCAGCGGCAAAGCGCAGGCCTGGCAAGCGCAAGGTCGTGAGTTCGGTTCCCGGTACCAGAGAAAAACCAAAAAAAAAAAAAAAAAAATTCTACAGTGAAAGTGTTATAATCAGGAAAACTGACCTTTTTTTCAAAGATTAAACCACTGAGAATTTTTACAATGTCTATGCTGGAAAAATCCAGCTCAATATTTACATAAAAGACATTCACCAGGCATATTTAACATATCTAAAGTTAAATGATAATTCATGCAAAATTAAATTTTTAAATGTTCAGTTAAAATTATATCCAAACTATATACAATTGATATACAAATTCCTTCACCATATACTGAATTTTAAACATTGTTAGGTAACCCAAGAATTTTTTCAAAGAGAATATGAACAAGTGAATATTTTTGTTTTGTTTTGTTTCGGTTTTTTTGTACTGGGAATTGAACTTAGGACATCGCCCCTGCCAGGCAGGCGCTTGTGCCCCTGAGCTGTATCGCCGGCCTGAGTATTTCTTCAAAGCAACAGGGATCCTTTAAAAGCTTTTATCTAAACTACAAGGAGTGGTGCACACCTGTAATCCCAGCACTCTTGGTAGGCTGAGGCAGGAGGCTCACAAATTCGAACCCTGTGGCAATAGTAAGATTCTGTCTTGATATAAAAAATAAAAATGTTGGGGGATGTTCCTCAGTGTAAAGGCCCTGCGGTCAATCTCCAATACCCACCCCACTCACACACACATACACAGGCTTTTGTCTGTAATGACTCAGCAAGACAGCTGTTTTTTTGTTTTTATCAATTTTATGTCAAATTTATCTTTTCACTAAATTACAACAGAAATCTACAGCATGTAAATTTCCTCATGTGAATGTAAACATAGCCTCCCAAAATAAAGAAATGGACTAATTAGTTTTGTTTTTTGTTTTTGGTACCGGGAATCAAACTCAGGACCTTGTGCTTGCCAGGCAGGTGCTTGTGCCACTGAGCTATAATCCCCAGCCTGAAATGGACTAATTAAATTGTGGTAGGTCAAATAAGCAGCTATTTAAAAGCTGAGAGAAAATTAGAATACAATCTCAATTCCTTCAAGCAGAATAAATATAAGATGGATAAAGAATCTAAGCGTGTAAAATAAAGCCAAAGCCTATAATCCGGCACCTTGGGAGGCTGAGGCAGGAGGATCACACCTTCAATTCAAGGCCAGCCTGGAATACATAGTGAATTCAAGACCATCCTGAACCACAAAGACCCTTCCAAAAGGCTGGAGATTAAAAATTGTTAGTGCAGGGCTGGGGATTTGGCTCAGAGGCAGCCCTCTTGCCTTATGTGCACAAGGCCCTGGCTTTGGTCCCCGGCACATTAACAACAACAAAAAAATTGTTAGTGCAGAGTGCCAAGGCCCTAGATTCACTTTCCAGTACAGGGGTGGGGGTGGTATATATCACAGTCTCATATTTTATAATGTACTCACAAAAACTACTATATGATCTCATTTGAGTTCCATCCTTCATATGACTACCAAGAGAATCATTTGCTAAGAATTTTTTCTATTATAAGATACTTGGCTTGTGTCTAGACTGTCCCCTCAAAGCCTCATATGGTCATAGGCAGGGCTTTATCAGAAATGGCTGGACTTGGGCTGGGGATTTAGCTCAGCAGCATAGCACCTGCCTGGCAAGTACGAGGTCATGAGTTCGATTCCTGGTATCGAGAAAAAAAAAACATCGCGCCCCCCCCCCCCAAAAAAAAGAAATGGCTGGACTGAAAGTGTGTGATGCTGAGATTGATTCATGGTGCAATGCTAGGATCAAGGGCACCAGGATTAACAGTGTGAGTGCTATGTGCCCTAAGTAGCCTGGATAAGATAAAAGGGGCAGAAAGACACTGCTAAAAGGTCCCTTGTGTTTTTTGCTGCCTTCTGCCTGCCACACCATGGACTGTTTCTCCTCTGCCACACCACCCTGCCTTGGAGCCAGCTAACTGTGGATTAAAACTTCTATATAGTGTGAGCTACATAAACCTTTCCTCCTTTAACATGGGATATCAGGTATTTTGTCTCAGCAACAAGAAAAGTAACTAAGACAGGTATTAACACATATTAAAAATATTTTACAGCAAAAGAAACTACCACCCAATAAAGCAAAAATACATACATCAAGTTCGAAGAAAAAATCTTGTTCCTTGGATGCAATTTCATAATCTGCTCTTAAAGCGAGGTCATGAACTTTCAGACATTCTCCAAGATCCATTCTCTGGGTAAGAAAAAATAGACATTATTGACACAGAAAATACATTTTTATATTTACAATCAGAGCTCTCTTCAGAATACATATTAAGGAATACAAATGTTTATTTATAGACCCCCAAATTAAAAAATTTCATAGAAAGTATAAAATTTGGTGTTAGAGAAAAATAGCACCAATTCTAAGAAATGGGAACAGCAATCACTTTTGTACTTAAGAGCCTTTCAAAATCTGGAAAAGTTTCTGTATCACAACAAAGTAACACAGAAAGATAAAAGACAGTTTATTAGTAAGACCCAGTACAAGTTCACAAAGAACAAGAGAAATAAAAACACTCATGCTAATCCTAGTATCATTCTATTTAGAATTTCCAATTAGGAATCATTTTTCAAATGGGAGACTTTTCTCCTATCTGAGACAAAATCTAAACCCTAAATATCTATTCATTTTTGCATGTATGTGGCAAGTGACCAGATCTTTCAAGAAATCCTTTCGGAGGAAAAACAAGTCAGATGCAAAGGTAATTACATATGTGAAGAATGGGGGATTAACGTGAGGAATTGACTTTCCAACTGGAGGTAGCACCTCTACCCCTGGAATTTCTCAGTCTCTAGAGAGTTAGTGAAAAAGAAGAGCAAGTCAAAACAGTATCATAAGTACTCTTTTGTTACAAGCTATCTATAAAGTGAAAGTACAACAAAACACCCACAGCAGTAAAGTCATTCCTTCAATTAGTAACTAGGTGACACTAAGGAAATAGCAGTAAGTGACAGTTTCTGGACTCGTGAAGCCTGCATTTTTTTAAATTAACCTTATTGGTACACTTTCAATATACAAAATGATCACTCATTATAGGGAGTTAGTAACCTTTCTTTATTCCTCTTTTTTCGCCCAATCCTGTTCCATCTCTTTAACCCCTTCCCCTCCTCCTTATTTAAAAAGCTTTGTTTCTATTTTAGAGCCTGCATTCTTAAAGACAGAAAAATATAAATCCCAGCACTTGTAAGAGACTAAGGCTGGAGGATCACTGTGAGTTCAAGGCCAGCTTGGACTGACTGACTACACAGTGAGTTCAAGACCAGCCTGAACGATTAGCAAGACCCTGTCTCAAAAAACTAAAACAAACAAACAAAAAAGAGAGCCAGGGAAATACCTCAGCGGCACAGTGCCTGCCTGGCAAGCATGAGGATGTGAGTTTGATTCAAAAAAAGAATACGAAGATAGCTCATAAAGGTGAAGATGTGGAGAAAAAAGAACCCCTTTACACAGCTGGTGGGAATGTAAATTAGCATAGCCACTATGGAAATTAACAGTAAAGTTTCTTAAAAACTGGAAACTAGACCTATAATTTGATCCCACTCCTTGGTACACACCTGATGGATTTAAAGTCAGCCTACTATAGGGAAACTTCACATCCATGCTTATAGAATATACAATATACAACACCACACAGCAAATATACAACAGCCAAGACATGGAGCCAGCCTAGGTGTCTATCAGAGGAATACACAAAGAAAATATAATATACATATATATAAAATGGAGTATTATTCAGCCAAAAAAGAAGACAAAATTTTGTCATTTATAGAAAAACCACAGAAGACCAGAGATTTAGCTCAGTGTCACAGTGCCTGCCTGGCATGCATGAGGTCATGAGTTTGATTCCCTGTAAAAATAATAATAATTATATATATATATATATATATATATATATATATATATATATATATATATATATATATATATATATATATGAATCATCATTTATATATATATAAATAATCATCAGGAGCCAGGGGTAGTGGTGCACACCCATAATTCCAACACTCAGGAGGCTGAGGCAGGATTACTGAGTGTTCAAGGCCAATAAAGGCAACACAGCAACATCCTGCCTCACAGACAGACAGACCGACAGACAGACCAGTCAAAATGACAGATATTGGGTAACCATTCAAGACCCCTCCTGGGCTGCAGATATAGCTCAGTGACACAGCGCCTGCCTGGCAAGCACGAAGTCATGAGGGAGAGGGGAGGGAGAAAGGAAGGAAGGAGAAAGGAAGGAAGGAAGAGTAAAAAAATTAGAAAAGGAAAAAATGGCAACAAAGCTTTTGTAAATAGGGAGGGAAGGAGGGGTTGAAGGGCTGGTAGGGAAGGGGGGCAAAAAAAAGAAGTTATATCATGTACAGGTACAAATTCTCTGTGATGAATGTGATCATTATATATACCTAAAATGCACCAATTATATCTGATTGGAAAAAAAACAGAATGGAAACCAGGTGAAATGTGAATAGTTTTGTATTTTATTTAATAAAGTACCAATGTTAATTTCTCACTTCGCATACACGTACAAAAAAACCCACTAAAAATTCTCATTGCTCTAAATGTTTTAAAACACTATGCTGAGCATGCTGAGACTTTTTTCCAGGCCCAGCGCTCACTCCCTTTCATACTGTGTAATTTAACAAACAGAAGAGTTTTTCCAGTGTCATTAAACAGCAACTGAAGTTTCCAAGAGAGATGCAGAAACTCCAAGCTGCTCATTCAGCAACATTATTAAGAAAATGTAGAAGAAAAAAAATTAAATATTATATGGGCATGGTAGCACACGTCCATAATTCCAGCACTTGCTAGTCTGAAGCAGGTGGACTGTGGCAAGTTCAAGGCCAGTCTGCACTACATATTGAGACCCTGTCTCAAAAACAAAACAAAACAAAATGAAGTCCTAAATACTCCTTTTAAACACACTAAAGACTGAACTCTGGGCTTTCACTCTAAGCTACATCACCAGCCAGCTGGCTGACCATTCGTTTCTTCATTTATTGCTCCCTCCCTCCCTCCCTCCATTCAGACAAGTTTCCCTAAGTATGTAAGTTGCCCAGGCTGGCCTCAAACTTGTGATCCTCCTGCCTCAGCCTCTTGGAATGCTGGGATTATAGGAGTGTGCTACTGGGCCCAATGCTCCCAGATATTTTTTAGTGTGCAGGGTCAGGAACTACTAGCTGATCTAGTTTCATTCTCGTTCTCTACAGAACAATGGCTTGTTTAGGGTCCTTACACAAAACTTGGTTAGATTGATTTCTAGACTACCATCTCTTCCACTTACATCATTCCAGTTTCCAATGAGTTCATTACTCAGTATTTTTCAATCATCTCTCATAATACTATACCTAGAAAAAAGCGCTCTGCACAGTAGATATCCAATCAGCTCCCTTACCTTTATTCTGTAATTACATGTCCAATGTGTTCTCAACAAAAACTTGCAAATAATATAAACTTTGTTCACCTGTGTTTTTCACCTGAGCATCTCTGTCTCTGACAGGAACCTCAGGACACTTCCTTCCTCACTTTAAATTTGTATCATGCAACCAACCAAAGGAAAAGCGACAGTGAAGTTTAAGAACAAGGGCTAGGAATGTGGCCAGTGATAGAGCCCTTGCCTACTATGCTCACGGCCCTGGGGTCTGACCCCCAGCACCACAACAAAACAAACAAAATGACACAATTATACTATATAGTCAGGGTTGAGTTGGTGAGAGTAGACTTGGGAGGAAGGTCTACCTTGAGGTGAAATGTGGGCAGGGAAGAATGAGAAACTTCACTGAAATGTTAGCCCCACAAGGGTGAGCACTACTGCTGTTATGCATGATATGCCTATAGTGGTACCTGTGGAATCCTTACTAAGTATTCTGTTGAAGGAACAAGACTGGGAAAAGACAGTGGAAAATGCTTGGCACAAGGGCAGAAGAACGAGTGGGAGTGCAGAAGCATTCCACAACAAAGCCAAGCTTGGCTTCTGGAAGGAGGCTCCTAGCCTCTCCTTTGATTCATTCTCTCCTGTGCTTGGACCCCATTCCCTCCTATGTGCTTAAACCTCTTTTCCTTTGTTTTCCTCTCTTTCAGGAGGTAGAATAGTTGAGCCCGATCCCAAGCTGTTGCAACTTTCGTCTGGCTTAACACAGGCACCTGGGAGCCAAAACCCTAGGGGCAAGGGCCTATCTTCAATGGAGAGAGGTATTTGCTTGGAATGTCTTCAATGCTCTTCTTTTCTGGCACCTAGCATGTCAGTACATAGAGCAAGGCTGCTTTTCAGAACTCTAGATACCATGTCATCCATGTTCCTTGGCCCATGACATCATGACTTAGCACCTACTTTGGTAATGAGGAGTATTTAAACTGTAACAATTTAAAAAGCAAAACAAAAAACAACCCAACAGCCGGGGGTGGTGGCACACACCTGTAATACTAGCACTGGGGAGGCTGAGAAAGGAGGATCTTTGCAAGTTCGAGAGCAGCCTGGGCTACAAAGTGAGCTCAAGGCCAGCCTGAACTGCACAGCGAGACCCTGTCTCAAAAAGACAAAAAAAAGTGAGTGCAAAGGAAAGCACGACTCAGTGAACATTCTCCATGATCTTAAGTGATCTGTATTAAAAACAACTGCAAAGAGAACCATGACAGAATCATGCTGTGACCCCCCACAAAGCAACCAGCCATTTCCTCTTCACTCTGCCATTAGTGACCACAGCTCACTAATGTGTTTCAGTGCTTCCAACACCATGTGGAACATTTGCTTCGGCTGCTGATTCTCTTTTTTAAAAAGTGAAACTGAACAAAATGTCTGCTTTTCATTTATTCCAATTTAACATGATTATTTATGATAAAAAGCCAAAGGAAGAGTTTCAAAACTGAGCAAGTAACTCACTTCATAAGTAAATTCTTTCCACAACTTTGTTCCTTTTTATTGTCTCTGAGACAGAATCGTGCTGCACAGCCCAGGACAGCCTTGAACTCACTTTGTAACCCAGGCCGGCCTGAACTCACAGCGATTCTCCTGCCTCAGGGGTGTGCTACCACACCCAGCATTCCACAAGGTCATTCTTGTACTCCATCTTAATTAACAAGCATTCTTAGACTGCAAGTGAAAAAAATAATGCTTATTTTCATTGAATAATTTCAATTTCACATTTTGTCTCCCACATTTCAAATGTACTCGTCCAGGAACTTTTTTTTTG